AGCAATGCCCATATAGATAGCTTTCTATATATGAACCAAGAAATTAGAACACTTGATTTAGTATTCATATATCATATTTATGCTATTTTTTCCCCCTAGGTGATATAGTATCTATAATAAAACACATAAAAACTAGAAAGTAATATGTGCCATATTATTGGGTATCCCGCACTTGCTGGTAGTTGTAATATGTGTCATGTTTGGATATGTTGATTCTCTTTGCTACATCAAGATTATAATCAAACCACCAAGCTCAAATACCCCTACTAAGGATGATCCTATTTCTAGGTACTGCACTCTATGACCATCATCCATGATCCCTATTCATGTTGGAAAAAGATAGTTAATCCTAAGGTATGGAGTGTTTTGTGTTTCATTGAGTTTGCATAATGTGAATATAAGGATTTTTCCTCTTCAAGTAAAAGCTATTGAGGCTCATTATTAGCATGTCACATCCTCTTCAAGTAAAAGATGAACATAATTGGGACATCAAAACTTCCTAAGGCTTTTCTGATGGAGCATATCATATCCGCTTCAATTTATCAATTGTAAAGATTTTTCCATGCATTACTATCCATTCAAAAAATATAACCTTAGACGGCAACACAGGTAGCAGACTTTAAGAAAGAAAGAACACATAATTGTTTTTAATACAACAAGGAGTAGGAAAAACTTAATTATTAAAATGGATCAGGAATAATACATTACATTATTTTGTTTTTACCTGGTTTGTCAGGGTGGTTAATTTGTATCCAACATTTTTTTTTCTTTTTTTTTAAAAAAAAAAGAAAAAAAGAAAAGAAGAGAGTATTGTGGATAATAATTTAAGATGCAATATGAGCAATAGTCGTTCACATTCTGTCATTGTACCTAGGAGAGCTTGATTATCTATCTCCAATCTGCCCACCAATAATAAATGTACCAAAACAATCATTGGTGTTGTTCATTAAGGACATGAACAACAGGGTATAAAGTGACTGCTCAAATGTTTGAATATGCATTCCCATGCTTGCCAACTGAAATTTCATCATTCCACCAAGCAATGTCTTCTTAACAAAATGACTTAAACGAATTACAATAGAAAGTGATTCTTTACACTTTGTGGAATGCTTGATTAATACATTTTTTATATGCTATTCCACTGCTTAATGACTACAAAACTGTGTATTAAAGTTTATTATTTTCAATCTTTTTCATTTGTGTGAAGTTAGTTTTCCTTACTTTTTTCACTTGAACAATGTTGGTTCTGGTAGAAGGTAGACATTGGGATAAATCCCTTAGAGATGACTAAGAAGGTTTCCTTATGAGTTCAATTTAAACCAGAACAGAGATCAATGATTAGAAGTACTTCAAACCACTTATTCATTAAACCAACATTAGTGAACCCAAGAAGAAACCAGAAAAAAAAAAGAAAACAAAAAAGAAAACAAAAAAAGAAGTTCCCTGAAATGATTCCAATAGAACAACTTATTGAAATGATATACACTTCCACAACACTAAATGAATAGGTTCTTACAAGTTTAATATGGTCCAAACACAAAAAATAATGCTAGTCATGGAATTTAGTTGTAGCTATTTTAAAGTCATCATGAGGGTAGCATAAAGGTTAATGCAACACTTACCTGCATAATTATGCATGTTCCTAAGATCTTATCAGAGCAATGACACTTTCTTCAACCAAGGCATTCGCTTTTCGTGATTTGCTTTATGGACAACAAACTGCATGAAGTTGGGCATGGATAATTTGCATTTTTTTTTGTTGATTACAAAAGAAGAAGAAAAATCCAAGAATGAAGGATTTACAATCGTTATGCATTGGATGAGCAGCAAACCGAGCATGCCTATCAACTCTCCTAGCTAATTGGGTTTCATTGCATGAATCCTTTCTAACCATTGTATACAATATCATGAGAGCCTAGGTATGGTTCATATGATTAACTAACACGTGCCGAAGCAAGAACACAACCAATCATGCATAAATCCAAGAAACATGTATACAACAGAAAATTTCAGCACATAAAATTTACTTAAATGTGCCAAAACAAGGTTTAGAGAAGCAATAAAGCCCTTGCTTAAGAACACAACAACATTTCACATGACTTCTTTGCATCGTGTAATACAACATATTGAACAACAACAGCTCAATAAAAAATACTTGTAGCCACGCTGAATGGGCATGAATAAATATGTTTTGAAACCCATTAAATGAAAGAGTGCATCAGCAAGAAGCCATGGAAAATTAGATGCAGTATTGTATATAAAACTTACTTACTGAGCAAGTCACTGGGTATTTTTAGTTTGGTTTCAAAAAAATAAAAATAAAACACATGGGAGCACACAATTAGGTAGATTTCAATGGTGGGAGGGAAACAAAGATTTAAATTAATCTAAATGCAAAGCTTAGAGCCAATCAAGCTTTGCACACAAACATAGTACAAAAATAGTTTTCTTGGGAACAAATCGGAGCTGCAAACAATCAAGAAATATTTCATAAAAAAATAAAAAATAAAAAACAGATACTAAAGATTCATTTAGAACAAGAACTAAAATATAACTAACAAAGACCTTATAACATATTCTTTCAATTTTGTTCCCAATCAGTGAAAAGGGTTTTTTAGAACCCAACTAGGTCTTCATACACTCACACACAAACACACACTCAAGTAGGTGTCTGTGTCAAGGCAATGGAATATAAGCAACAACAAGAGCAAAACAATGGATAACTAGGCTGAGACAAATTGAAAGGAATTCTGTTATTCATCCTCCTACCCATTAGTGGAAGAATTTCATTTAAGGTCAAACCATCATAAGGTATATTACATGGGAGAATTTTTAATTCAAAATAAAAACAAATCATCAAAGAGAGAAAGGGAGGAAAAAGAAATGTTAGAACAATCAATAACTACATAATTTGAACTTAGCAAAAAGCCCCAAATTCCATCATCCAGACAAATAAAATGTTCATTTGAATGCATCATCTTATAAATAGAGCCCTAATGGAAACACACAGTGAAAACCCTAAACAAAATATAAAACAATTTAAGAAATCCAGAACACAAGATGGAATGAATAGCAAGGGTTACACAAACTTGAAATGGAGAATAAAGCCTTGAATTAAGGTGATCTAGGTTTGGACTTTGTTTGTTATTTTCTTCAATTATTGTACAAGATAAGAACACTTACAAGCTCGCTTTCGCTGCTAGCTGCCGCCTTTGCCTATCCTACGCCGCAAAGAGAGAGAGAGATGAGCGATTGAGACGCCGTTGCACGCCGCAGCCTCTGTTGCCCTACGTCGCTGAGAGAGAGAAAGAGAGAGATCAGCTCAACTGATGAGAAATAGAGAAATGCGCTGCAACAGATAGATAGAGAGATAGAGAGAGAGAGAGAGAGAGAAGAAGAAGAAGAAGAAGAAGAAGAAGAAGAAGAAGATAAAAGGGGGGAATATTCAGAATAATTTTTTGGTCTTTTTTCGTCATATATATATATATATATATAAAGACATGGCAAACGGACGGGTTTGGATGAGTCAAAATAAGTTTTGTATTAAAAAATTGTTTAAGTTTTTAATCAGTATTTTTTATTTTACTGAAATTTTTCAATATTTTAATCAATTAAAAATACATTTTTAAAAATTCATTTAAAAGATAAAATATTTGTGAACAAATATTAAAAAAATCAGTACATATAAAAATATACTGAGTCTTCGTATCGTTTTAGAATTTTTTTGTGTATGGTGAATTTTTTAATAATTTTTTTCATAAATATTATACTTTTAAAGTTTATTTGGACTATGTGTATCTAAAAAGTAAAAAAAATAAATAATGATTAAAATATTTAAATAGTTCACTAAAAATTCAAAAATATGAATTAAAAATTAGAAAATTAGTTTTCAAAAATTGAAACGAACAGAATCGATCCAAACCCGTCTACTTAATAAATAGGTTTAACTGGGTTGGGTGGAAGTGAAGTGTCGGTAGTGGTAAAGGAAAAGAGGTGGTGGAGGTGGAGTAGTGGGGGTAGTGGAGAGGCGGTGGTGGAGGTTGAGTGGCGACGGACAGTGAAAACCCTAAACAAAATATAAAACAATTTAAGAAATCCAGAACACAAGATGGAATGAATAGCAAGGGTTACACAAACTTGAAATGGAGAATAAAGCCTTGAATTAAGGTGATCTAGGTTTGGACTTTGTTTGTTATTTTCTTCAATTATTGTACAAGATAAGAACACTTACAAGCTCGCTTTCGCTGCTAGCTGCCGCCTTTGCCTATCCTACGCCGCAAAGAGAGAGAGAGATGAGCGATTGAGATGCCGTTGCACGCCGCCGCCTCTGTTGCCCTACGTCGCCGAGAGAGAGAAAGAGAGAGATCAGCTCGACTGATGAGAAATAGAGAAATACGCTGCAATAGATAGATAGATAGAGAGAGAGAGAGAGAGAGAGAGAGAGAGAAGAAGAAGAAGAAGAAGAAGAAGAAGAAGAAGAAAGGGGGGAATATTCAGAATAATTTTTTGGTCTTTTTTCTTCATATATATATATATATATATATTTATAAAGACGTGGCAAACGGACGGGTTTGGATGAGTCAAAATAAGTTTTGTATTAAAAAATTGTTTAAGTTTTTAATCAGTGTTTTTTATTTTACTGAAATTTTTCAATATTTTAATCAATTAAAAATACATTTTTTAAAATGCATTTAAAAGATAAAATATTTGTGAACAAATATTAAAAAAAAATCAATACATATAAAAATATACTGAGTCTTCGTATCGTTTTAGAATTTTTTTGTGTATGGTGAATTTTTTAATAATTTTTTTCATAAATATTATACTTTTAAAGTTTATTTGGACTATGTGTATCTAAAAAGTAAAAAAAAATAAATAATGATTAAAATATTTAAATAGTTCACTAAAAATTCAAAAATATGAATTAAAAATTAGAAAATTAGTTTTCAAAAATTGAAACGAACAGAATCGATCCAAACCCGTCTTCTTAATAAATAGGTTTAACTGGGTTGGTGGAAGTGAAGTGTCAGTATTGGTAAAGGAAAAGAGGTGGTGGAGGTGGAGTAGTGGGGGTAGTGGAGAGGCGGTGGTGGAGATTGAGTGGCGACGGCAACAGTGGTGATGAGAGTGGTGAAGTAAGGCGGTGGTGATGGAAGAGAAATGGTGGCAGTGGTTGTGGTAGTGGTGGTGGTGGTGGTGGTGGTGGAAGTACTATAGAGTTGATATTTGTAGTGGTGGCAGTGTAGTGGCAACAGTGGTGGTATGAAGATGGTGGATGAGAGGTAATGGTGGTGGTGGCGAAATGGCGGCGGTGGCAGTAACAGTGGTGGTGGTGGTGATGGAAAAGAGTGAGTGGCGACAGTGGTAGAGTGGTCACAGTGGTAGTGGAAGATAGGTGATGGTGGTAGTGGAGTAGTGGCGACAGTGGTTGTAGAGTTATGGCGGTTGTGGCGATGGAAGTGGAGAAGAGGGGTGGAGTGGTGGCGGTGGTAATGGATCTGTGGCCGCAGAGCTAGTGGTGGTTGTGGTGGAGTGTTGGCAATGGTGGTGGAAAAATCCATTTAAACAGATTTAAACAAGTACTCATGTCTAACCTAAAAGGGGCTTTGGAAGATAGGAACTGATTTGGGCAAACAAAGAGGGCTTCTCACCTGTAGCATCAAACGGTGGCGTTTTGCATAATAAAACTATAGGAGATGAAATTATTTCCTCACGGAAAATTTTTACAATGGAAAATTTTCATCACCAAAATGGCTCCCAAATCTCTCGCCAAATTTTCCCAGGATGGGAATTTATTTTCTGATGAAAAAAATATATATTGAGACGAAAAAAAAATCGTCGCCTATTGTTTTATTGATTTTAATCATTTAGTGACGAAATTTGATTTTCCACTTTAAAAATAGTATAATTGGAGATGAAATCCTATTTTCATCTCTAAAACATGTATAATTGAAGATGAAATTTTTTTTCGTCATACGTTTTTGTAATCAAAGACCTTTTTTGTTGTAGTGTTTGAATCTAGGTGAGTTCAACAATGGTATGAGCAAGAGACTTGTATTTGGCTTCAGTGGAAGATCGAGATACAGTAGGTTGCTTCTTGGAGGACCAGGATAGAAGATTGGCACCCAAAAAGATACCATAACCAAAGGTGGATTTTCTATTATAAGGATCTCCAGCCTAATTGGAGTCAGTATAAGCATGAAGCTGGAAGGAATATGTTTGAAAAAGAAGACCATGAGCAAGAGTACCTTTAACATATCGTAAAATTTGTTTAATAGTAGCAAAGTAACCAATGGTCGGAGAATGCATAAATTGGCAAGCCTAAATAATAGCAAAGGATAGCTTTGGATGAGTGATAGTGAGATATTGTAAGGCACCCACAATGCTTCTATAGAAAGGGTTGAGGACAAGGCAATGCATCAAATGCTGCCATGGAGACCTTGGAAGAAATTGGAGTAGCACAAGGCATATATCCAACCATGCCAGCCTTAACAAGTAAATCAGAAGCATGCTTGTATTGACTAAGAAATAAGCCATGAGAATGAGGTTAAACCGAAATGCCAAGGAAATAGAGGAGATTTTCCAGTTCCTTCATGGAAAACTCATGATGCATATGAGACAATAAAGTTTGAATATAAGAAGCATTAGTGCCAGTTAGAAGAATATCATCCACATATATCAAAATATAGGTAAGAAAAGAAGAAAACTTGGGTATAAACAAAGAGGTGTCACATTTGCTATTAATAAACCCTTGAGAGATAATGAAGGAGGAAAATGTAGAATACCAGGCTCATGGAGCTTGTTTGAGTCCATATAAGGCCTTATGAAGTTTGCAAACAATAAAGGGATTTGAGGGATCAACAAACCCAGGAGGTTGTCCCATATATACTTCCTCTTCATGCTTACCATGTAAAAAATCATTAGATATATCCAACTATTTGATTGGCCAATGATGGTATAGAGCTAAGTAGAGCAAAATTCAAATAGTAGGTTGTTTAGCCATATGAGAAAAGGTGTCATGAAAATCCATCCCGTGCTGTTGAAAAAAGCCCTTGGCTAGAAGCTAGGCTTTGTGCCTGGCAATGGTGCCATCCGAATTGCGCTTAACCTTGAATATCCACTTACACACAATTGTTTACTTAGAAAAGGAAAGAGACACCAAGGACCAAGTGCCTTGCTCTTGAAGAGCTGAGTATTCATCCATCATAGCCTGAAACCAAATAGGAGAGTCAAGAGCAGACTGTGTGGAAAGTGGTTTTGTAGAACCATTTGGAGGAAGAGATGCAACAGATTGAATATTGAAAGCATGAGATTTGGTTTTAGACCTAGTTTGCATAGAGCGGGTATTGGAAGGAGAAGGAAGAGGAAGATCAATAGAAATGGAGTTAATAGGAATGGAAGGAGAAAAAGACTGAGATGGAGCAGATTGATCTGGAATGGGAGGAAAACACTGATCTGGAATTGGGATAGAACCAGATTGAATTGGGTTTGAACAACGCTAAGCTGGGGCAGAACAGAACTGGTCTAGGCTAGAAGTAGACAAAACAGGTGTAGAGGTAGACTGAGCATGCTGAGCAGGGGCTCATCAAAAGAAAGTCTGCAAAGTAGATAAAGAAGAGGTAGTAGCAGCAAACTTAGAAGAAGAGGCAAAAGAAAAAATGAACTCCTTAAATCGGACATAGAAAGAAGAATATGACCTGTAAGTGGATTTAAACACCTATATCCCTTAATAGTGGGATGATAACCAAGAAAAATATGAGGAATGGATTTAGGGGTCAATCTGTGAGAAGAATAGGATTTAAGCCATAGAAAGCAAAGGCAGCCAAAAACTTTTAAGAAAGAATAATTAGGAGGTGTTAGGTCTCTTTTTTGTCAAATCCGCGAACAAACTTTGTTTTATAGAGTTGTAATTTTTTCCTTATTTTTTTGCTTTGAGCGGGATAATTGGCGCTCGAGTGGAATGTGTACTATCTCAGTAGTTGGACGTGTCTGCAAAAATATTGAGAAGTGTGATTTCGCGCTCAAGTGTGGGTTCTAGCGCTCGAGCGGAAACTTATTTATTCAGACACGTGTTTTAGTGGATCCGCTCAAGCAGACTGTCCTGCGCTCGAGCGGAGTGCGCGGCCCCTGCTTTCTATATATATCTGTTTAAGCCTTATTTTAGGATTAAGTCTTCTAGATCTGTTTTGGAAGCTCTAGGGTTTTGTTTTGGGGCTTGTTTGCTAGTTTTCCTTGATATTTTTGAGTAAGTTCTAAGCCTATGATTTGAGATACAAACATCAAGGAGTTTGTTTCTTCATATTCAAAAGTGTTCTTCTTCGGTGGAATCCGGAGATTCAAGCGTGGAGCATCAAAGGAGTTTGATACTGTGCATGGTCATTGATTCGACAATAGAAGTTGTGGATTTAACTTTATACTTATCAATTCCGAGACGAAGTCTATGGTGAAAGATTTACAGAAGGTTTGAAGACAAATTGGATGCGTTTGGTAATTTGTTTGTTATCTTTGTAATCTTTCTTTCTTCAGTAGTGGATTGATTAGTGGCGTTTCGCTTGTGATTTTTTATCACAATTAAAGGTGCTTCAATTGTGGTTTTTCCACGTAAAATCCGTTTGTGTCGATTTATTGTTTTTCGAAAACAACAATCTAAACCACTTTCATAAGTGCTGGATTATTTAGATTGTGTGTTTTGAATAATTGGAAATTGGAGTAATTAAATCTTGATCTAATCACGAATCACTTAGGATTTTCAGGAGGAGTATGAAAAAGTTTCTCAAAAGGAGAACAATTAGAAATGGCAACACTAGGCAATCGATTAATTAAAAGGTAGCAGCAACCACAACATCAAACCAGTATGTCAGGGGCAAAGCAGACTGATTTAGAAGTTCAATAGCAATCTCAGTGATGTGGTGATGCTTGCGTTCGGCTACACCATTTTGAGATGGTGTATGAGGACAAGAAGACTGATGCAGAATGCCATGAGTATTCATAAACTTGGCCATGGACTGATTATGAAATTCTCCACCTCCATCAGATCTCAACACTTTGAGAGAGTAACCAAATTGTTTCTCAACAAACATTTTAAATTCAGTAAATTTGGCATATACTTTTCTTTTTTAAACCAAAGGATAAAGCCATGTAAAGTGACTGAAATCATCAACAAATACAACATAATATCTGTAATTAGAGGAAGAATAAGTAAAAGGCCCCCAAACATCTGTGAGCATTAGAGCAAGTGGTTGAGCAACAGTAGAATTATACATTTTAAATGGTAATCGATGAGATTTAGACATAGCACAATCAACACAAGAAAGAGAAGTTTTATTAGAGGACAAAGATAAACATTTCTTCAGTAATTGAAACTTAAAAACAGATAGATGTCCTAATCTTTTATGCCATGTATCAGCAAAAGCAGCAGAGGAAACAGTAGCACTATGTAAAGCATGATGAGAAGCAAGTGGTGAAATAGAAGATGAATGCACGGGAAAATGATATAAGCCATTAGCATGATAGCCTCTATGTAGAATTTCCTTGGAATGATTGTTCTGAATGGAAAAAGAAGATTTATGAAAAATAATGGAGCAATCATTGTCTTTAGCTAATTGTTGAACATAAACTAGATTAGAAGATATAGAAGGCACATGTAACACTTTATTCAAATGAAAGGAATGATGAGGAATAGGAAGGATACCTTGACCAATATGAAGAATGGGAAGAGAAGAAGCATTAGCAATGGTGACCTGGTCAGGACCAGAGTATGGCCGATAAGAATTTAGGTGATGCAAATCATGAGTAATATGATCTAATGCTGCAGAGTCAAGGAACCAAGGTGGGGGAGCAGCCTCATAAGTTGTGGAAGCAACAAAAGCCTGAGATGTATGAAGAGCCGAAGAAGAGGGAGAAGAAGATGACTATAGAGAAGAATGTGATGGTTAAAACTGAGTATCCAATCGATGCCAACATTTAAGAGCCGAACGATTTTGTTTACCACAAATCTAACAAATTATAGCAGAACCAGACCTTCCTTGACCTTGAGAAGATTGAAATCTACCACAAAATTGAGCATATCAACCAGAAGCAGACGTATGACCTTCAGAATATCCTCTGGAATCTTGGTGAGAGAAGTCTCTACCATAATGATATGCATGAAATCCTTTGGAGGAACTAGATTCTTTCAATGCAGCATAAGCAACTGGTAAATTAGAGGCTTGCTTGATTTTGCCTTCAATGTGAATAGCTTTGGAACACAATAAGGAAGAAAGTTCTTCCATTGAAATGGTTCCCGAACGAGTACAAATGGCTGTTTTAAAAGCATCATATTCACTAGGAAGTCCATTCAAGGTTATAAGAACGACATCTTCATCATCAATAGGAGAAGAAGCCAAACTTAATTGATCAACAATATTCTTTATCTGGCTCAAATAGACTTCCATAGACTCTGTCTTCTTCGAAATTGAATTTAGTTGTATATGCGATCGTGATAAAGATGTGAACTTCCTGTCAAGAAACTGCCAAGCTTGAGTACTGGTTTGAAGATGAATCACAGATGTGAAAATAGTAG